GTGTGTGTGTGTGTGTGTGTGTGTGTGTGTGTGTGTGTGTGTGTATGTATGTTCGTGTGTGGGAGTGTGCATGTGGTGTGTGTGTGAGAGTGTGTGTGTGTGTGTGTGGTGTGTAAAATGGGTCCCCAACATTGTCTAGAATAGCTGTATCTCCACCACTGTTATCTCTGGATAAATCAAGGCAGACAGCACCAGACGGAAATGTTGAAAAACTTGATCTTGAAAACATTAAATGAGAGATGGAGAGAAGACTCAGTAGTTAGAAGTACTTGCTGCTCCTCAGAGAACCCGGGTTCAGTTGTTACTAACACCCACCTGTGACCAAAAGGCACCAATAACTCCAGTTCCAGGGCACCTGGCACCCTCTTCTGACTGAGGAATGAACCGGCAGGCACCTGGTTTGCATACACATGTGGAGGCAAAGCAGTCCCACCCACTTAAAAATTTCAAAAATGCATTAAATGAAAACTGTTTAGAGTCAAAGTGATCTATGTATATGCAGCAAATCCTCCTCTTCCTCGTTCTTCTTTCCTCTCCACTCTGTCTCATATTAATATTACAAAACACTCAAGCCTATTTGGGATTAAGTCCTAACGTAAGGGAAGGATGCTGTCTATCAAAGGGAAAAGGGATGTTGACTTCCTCGTGGCAAATTCTGCCTCCTTGACCTGCCCAAAGGAGAAGGAAATCCTTTTTTTTTTTTTCATTCTAGTCGGAGGTTCTAATCCTTAATTAGCAACATCATTTTGATTAAATAAGACTCTGGAGGATTCCGACTGGAGAACCATCAGTTGTTCTGAAAGATAGCTCCAGGGACTTTATTGGACTGTGGGTTTAGTCATTCAGACTTGTGTTTAATCAAAGTGACATTTCTCAGTGTTGATTACAAAAGGGACATTATATGAATGAACTTCTTCCTTTGGGAAACAGAAAGGACTCTCCATGGGTTTGTGCTTTAGGGATTTGGGTAGGAGGATGGGAAGTGGAGCACAGTGAATTGGAGGAGCTGGGAGAAGCCAGGCCAGATTCTGGGAGAACACAGTTAGCAAATACTTTTTATTATTGTGTAATTTCATAATTTTAAAATCTCTGCTGAGAATAATCACATGGTGTCTTTGAAGCCTGACAATATGTGTCTAGAAAAGTAGACGAAGAACCACAGCATTATTCTTTTTGGCTTGCTTGATTTCTTGGTTTAAATACTAAACTACAGAACAAATTTTATCAGCATCTACTTACTAAAGTTGGTAGAAATAAATGACATGAATGGAATACCTGTTCTAGAACATTCTGAATGGGTTGGCGGCAGGATTGACAGAGACTCCACTGTCAGTCAGGTAACCAGCTGGCAGAATCTTGTATTGGTCACTGGAGAGGGCTATGGCTTCCAGCAAGGTCGGTAGCTTTACCAGTCACAATGGGGGAATACCTCAGAGGGATGTATTGCTACTTATTCAGAGTATCCTAACATACCACGGGCATTTGAATTTTAATAGCTGTTATTATTATTGAACAATGAGCAAGTCATAGCTAAAAAAATCTTTATCTTATTGCAGGGAAAGAGAAAACCCATTTAATAGGCAGCCATCTTTAAAACTGGCTGTCCTATAAAACTCAATTGTTTTCTCAAAGTCCAAAAACCCCCTAATGGGCTGAGGCTATAGTTCAGTGGTAGAACGGTTGCCTCGCGTTCATGAGGCCCCAGGTTCAATTACCAGTGCCACAAAAGAAAAATAAAATCCTAAAAGTTGCAAGCGCGGAAAATGAAATTGATTTCAGCAGTACCTCTCAAATGGCAACACACCACTTAAATCAACTGAAGTCTGCGTTTAGCCCTGCTTTCCGCGCCGATGTCGGATGTGCGTAGCTGCGAGACCTTTAATGAGATGTGCCGTTTCCTCTATTCCACCCAAAGCTTTCCAGCGATCCTGTTGAGCAGTGTAGACTGGAAGTTTTAGGAATTGAAAACATCGATTCTGAGTAAGGTTGCCAAATGGAGAGGAGACAGCCACTGCTAGCCAACGGTGCCATCTGGAACGGAGTCTCCGCTACTGCGGACCTCATGGGAAGCATAAAGTTAAAGCTCTCTGAAAAGGAGCTCTCTGCCAACAGCCTGGTGTACGTACCCAGATCTGAACCCCGCTCTTTCAGGGATTTCCAGGTTCTTAGGCGTGCAGTTATGAGCCACCACACTGGAGATAATGAAAGTAAGCACACCTGAGCAGGTTCTTTCCTGGAAGCCAAAGGATGGTGGAAAATTAAATCTGTCCATGGCCATGATTTTAAAGCCTACCACCATCAGCTTCAAATTGCTCTTTGCATTTTTTTTTCTACTTACTTTACCTGATAATTTACATTCTATCTCTATTTCACAGTGTGCTGCATTAGGCAGAATCGAAGTCCCAAGTAAAATATTGACTAGATTCTTGGGGCAGGAGATGAATTTATTCCGTCCCCCGCATTTCAGATATGTGTACCTAAACT